ACGGCACAGTGAAATTGAATTCTCCGTGAAGATGCGGAGTACCAGCGGCTAGACGGTAAGACCCCGTGCACCTTTACTATATGAACCGATTGAATCCCCATATTATGCTCTGATTAAACCCTAAACCCTATAGATCCCCCTTTTTTCCCTTCTATCTTCATTTTGAATACAACATTCTGCACGATCCTGCTTCCTTCCGTCCAACTGACGGATCCCTGACCAACATTGATTGATCCTGTGTACGAGGATTAGCTGTCAACTTAGCCTACCCTTGCTTTCCTCTGAGATATACTGTTCGATCTCTCGAATTGGTCATACGGCACAAGAAAGCCGGGAGAGATGTCTTTTTTTTGTTGGCCCTGACGATTCTACACCTCTCTTGCGTGCAAAAATTTAATAAATACGAGTCACAGAAAAACGGATCTGTTATGTTATGATCTCTCTCTTTATTTTCGGCTACTGATTTTGATTTTTATTTTATTTGTCCTTACCTGGGCTACCAGCCGGGCGGCCCAGGTCCCGGGTGGCCAGCCCGTGCAAGGACCAGGGAAGGTCCCACCAAAAAAAAAAACAAGAACAAAAATTCCAAAAAATCCAACATAAAACTATGTTTTGCAGAAAAACAAACTGAACAACTTTTGCCTCAGGGTCACGTCAAAATTCTTCACCAATTTTAAAATAAAAAAATGAATTCTACAAATAATTTTATTTTATTTTTTATTTTTATTTTTTTTGGCTCGGCCGGGCAAGTCACCCCGGGCCACTCTGGTAGCCTAGGTCCTTACGTATTTACTGATCTTATTCGTGAAGTTCTCTCCTTCTTTTTTGGCTTCAATAGCATGGCTTCAATAGCATGGTTCTTTTTTGGCTTCGATAGCTTATGTCATATCTCTCTATGCTTACTACCGATTGACTCTTTTTATTGGATTTTTTTTCTTTTTTTTACGCTTTTCATTACACATTTTCATTCCTTTTATTTCTTTGTCTTTTGTATTTGCACCGAGACATATTGCCTTGTTTTATTTTTTCGTTTTTCGTCCGTTTTTCTTTCTTTTTTTTTTCCTATTCGTTGGTTTTTTCTTTCGTTTTTGTTTCAATTTCCTCTTCTTTTGCTTTCAATTTTCGTATTATCACCATCCAATATTGCTTCGTTTTTATGTCGTTTTTCTTTCGTTTATGTGTTTCAGTGCGACGACACTGGTTTTCTGGTTTTTCTATTTTCAGTATGACATATTGCTTCGTTTGTCTTTCGTTTTTCTTTCGTATTTCGTTCGTGTTTCTTTCGTTTTTCGTTCGTTTTTCTTTATTTTTACTTCTGTATTGTTTGTTTTTTCCTCTTCTTTTTCTATCGTTTTTGTTACATTTTTCTATTTCAGTGCGCCTAAGCCATTGATAACGTGAGGTTATGTTATATCTCTGTCTGCTTAATACCGAGTCACTTCTTTTATTGTTTTGTTTTTTTTTTTTTTCGTTTTTCACTTGCACTCATTAGGTCGTTATTTACGTTTTCGTTTTGTATTTTCACTGTCACATATTGGCTCGCTTTTACCTCGTTTTTCTTTCGTTTTTCTGTTTCAATGTGACAATCCCGATTTAATCGTTTTGAAGTCCTGTATATTATTTCCATTTTTTCACTATGACATTTTCATTCCTTTTAGTTGTTGTTTTTTTTTCCATTTTCCACTTTCACATATTCTATCATTTTTCTTTCGTTCTTCGTTCCTTTTTCTTTCTTTTTCTTGTGTATTGGTTGGTTTTCTCTCTTGTTTCTCTGTCGTTTTGTTTTCAGTGCGCCTAAGCCGATTTGCTCATTTTCAATACAAAGAGAGAGAGAG